CTTAAATATTTTGATAAATCCCTTTTTATTATTTAAAACACCTTTTTCTTTTCACCAACTCTTTTAATTCTATCACCCCATCATTCTCGGCAAAACAACAATGGCTTTATTGTCGGGAGACTCTTCTGGCTGATTTTTTCAGGTGGCCACCAATGACCCTCTCGAACAGCGTTTGGACGCTGTTTTCGACGCCCTTGAAGTACAAGCAAGCAAAACGACGTTTGCCGTCGGCGGTTTGGTTCACCTTGGTGAAGGGTCCCATGCCACACTGCGTTGGGATACAGAGGATCCCAATCCCCCCCCCAAGGTATCCTTCCCAGCAACATCGAGCGCAGCCTTTGCCAAATTTCTAAAGGATGCAAAGCCCGCGACTTTTGGCCTGAATGGCCAAGCTGTTCTTGACGAAACCTACCGCAAAGCCGGGATGATGAACGCCGACAGGTTCTGTACCAGTTTCAACTTGTCAGAGTGGGGCATCATGGAGACGGTCACCAATGCATTGATTTACGGCTCCCACGGTGGAATCAGGGCAGAGCTGTACAACGTTAATGTCTACTCTGGGCCCTCTGGCAAGTTCAAGCCCCATGTCGACACTCCCCGCTCAGAGAACCAGCTCGGATCACTAGTCGTCTGTCTCCCCACGAGGGCGGCCAGCTCGCCGTTCGTCACCAGGGGCGGGAGGTCATCTTTGACTGGGCCTCCAAGTCGTCAACTGGCGCAGCCATTCAATTTGCCGCCTTCTTCTTTGACTGCGAACATGAGGTCCTTCAAGTCACTGCCGGCCACCGAATCGCTTTGGCCTACAACCTCTATTGGGCAGACAGAGTGTCCTGCCAACCAGGGCTCATTGAACCCGAACAACTGGCTTTCTATCCAGCTTTGAAGGACCTCTTCTCTTTTTCCGACTTTCTTCCAGATGGCGGGCTTGTTGGCTTCAAATGCGCCCACGCATACCCGCATCGCTCTAACGCCATGGCCGACAAGCTTCAGGGCAACCTCAAGGGTATTGATATGCTGATTTACCGAGCTCTTAGACAACTTGTGGGACCCTCTGGAGAAGTGGTGGTAACTGATGTTGGCGATTAGACATTCAAGCAGTACGAGAAAAAGAAGAAACCCGGATTGGATTGTGTTGGAGCCAAACCCCTTCATGGGCCGTTTTTGGCCCCGTTTGACGACGACAACGACGACTATCCCACCGAGGTTAATCCAGGGCCTGAAGAGATTTACACTTGGGATATCGAAGCAGGTTACTCGTCACGGTGGCTTTTGAGGGAAGAGAGAGGCGGTTGGGAACAGAAGCACGTCCACTGGCTGAATCATCACCTCAACTACGAAGAGGAAAATCGGGAAATTGCGATTGGATACGTGGCGTATGGAAATGAGCCCAGTATGGGATGCCTCTACTCTGCAACCGTGATCATTGCAACCCTTCGTCGTGGTTGACGCGAATAGCATCCCAGCCTGGCGCAAATGTTGTTCAAATGTAAGTAACTAGAAGGTATTTTCAATAATAAAAGGCTCTTTAGGAAAATAGATAGCCTTTCTTTCCAGGAAAAACAACTTTTAAAAACAAATACGCATACTTATTCAAGATTAAGTGTCGTGCTAAACAAATATTCAAAAGGTGTATTGGTATTATACGCGTAGGCAAATCAAGGTGTTTTTCTTGATATAGATAAGGGCTTGAGGCGTTCGGCGACGGTTCTATTGCTTGGATAATGCCCTCCATCTCAGCCACCCGAATCTCCATGGCATTTGATTCTGCCACACCTAGTAAGAGAATTGTCTGGACCTGAACCTTATTTCCAAAGAGTCATCGTACCCCACCAAGTGAAAAGGCGCACGCACAAAAAAGCAAAGCTGCCATGGTCGTTTTCGCCCCGAGGATGAGAACATCACCATGAGCGTGAACAAGCTTCCCGTCGAACTGGTCGACAAAGTCTGCAACTTCCTCTATCCCGATGATTTACCAAGCATATTAGATCTGGCATTGGCAAGCAAACGATACCACCACATCGCAAGTCCCTGGTTCTATCGCACCATTCGATTCGATATTAAAAGGCTGCGGACGCGCCGTAGACTCGACCTCGACGTCGCCGAATGCAGCGCTCTGCTCCGCAAGTCTGCTAGTTTTCACCATGTTCGCCGCCTGATTGTGGCCGGAAATCTTGCAATTAAGGATCTATCTGACACGGACTCACCATTCCCCGAAAAGCCCCCATGGAAGCTTATCAAGCTTCCCGTCGCCGAACCGGGTGTATCTTCAAACAGCCACGAACCGTTTAGGGATTTGTCCTGGCGCACACAAGACATGTACAGCTATCGTCTGCAATATGCGGACATGCATTATCCGAGTTATTCACATGTGCCACCCAAGGTTATAGGGCCCTTTAGCTGTCAACAGACCTACGATCTTGATGAGGGGTGGTCAAAACTGGCGTCGCTGATGGAACAACTTCCCGGACTTTGTCAATTGGACTGGCAGTGCCTTGTCCAGTTTCCGTTTTGCTTGCTCAAAGTCTTACACACCAAGCTACCTGGATGCAGGCTCTATATTAAGCATTTCCTGCTGAGGTGCCTCTATGTCGCGGACCAAAGTCTTGCTACAGATCCCCACGAGCTCGACCTGATCTCCTCGCCGTGTCTTTATCAGATCCGGATGAAGGGCTATGGCCATCTAAAGATTGCTCGATATCCCGACGGGTTGATCGAACGCGGACCAATAATAACGCCGCAAGCCGTTATGCAAATGGCCGCAGGAATAGCTCCAAATCTGCACGAGGTTTTCATTGAAACTTGCCGCCACCACGAGGACGGTTATGGGTGGTATGAGCGCTTAGGGGACTTGCAATTCTACCTGCGCCAAGAACCTGAATCGGTGCTTGCTCCTCTCGTGCCCTGGAACGGATTTCGTCTCGAGGACAACATGGTCTGCACAAAGCGCTTGGCTCCGTTAACGACGCTATCGTTACACGGTGATAAATGGTGGCTCTATAGGGATGAACTCGAGCAGTGGTTGAGACATACCGACTGTTCCAGCCTGAGAAGGCTAATTATTGAGCCTGGATTTGGTATCAATGATAAAGACGCCAGAGTTCTCGCCAGTACGGGTAGATTAGAATCACTAAACCACCTGGTGATCACTATTCCTGGGAAACGGCGCGGGAAGCAATTCACATCGCATGGCTATAAAGCTCTGGGCACATTCATCCACGATCAGCCTCACTTATCCTTACTGAGTGTTGAGTATCCCCCATGGCATTTACTCACCAAACCTTCGCATCTTCTCAAGTTGCTTCCCCCGACCCTCAAAAGTTTCCACCTCAAAGGGCGGCCAGTGATATCTTCGGAGGATATCGACCTGATCAATGAGAAATGTCCACTTCTGGAGGTCTTGGAAGTTGGGGTCAAACGTTCTAAAGGAAGCATGGCAGAATCTCGCTGCTATCAAGCTCTGGGGCGGTTTTCCAAGTTGAGACGCCTGCACCTCAGGCTGGACGTTGAGTTTGCCTCTCCACCCTCGCCAGAGCTTGACGGCATGCTCGAATGTTTTGGGGTCGCAAATCCTTTTAGATGGAGGCACCCCACGAACCTGGAAATTAACCACGTGCGGGACTGGTACATCAACCTCGCAATTGATCAAACGCTGGCTCGGTCCATTCTCGACAGGATCACCAGGGGCTCCGACTATGTCTCACAGGCGCCAGCACTTGAGCGGTCAGAGATCAGAACGAGAGCCCACTTTCATCCAGTCATGTCTAAATGGCTTCATGAGACCCATGAGCTCCGAGAGATTGTTACCCGGCTTCATCACGATTGGCTCTTTGAGCTGGAGGAGAAGGAGGAACGTCGGTTTACCTTGAAGGATATCACACCGGACTATTCATCCAGTGGATACAGGATTGGGTCTTGTCCATTCGACCATCCAATGCAACAAGAGCTTATTCGCATTTTCAAAAGTGTCTGGCCTGCCTCGGAAGATGAAGCAGATCCCTGGCATTGGAAGAGCTTTCCGCTTGCCAAGCCCGATACTTCCTCCTCAATCGAACAAATAGGCTCTCCTGCCAATGACAGCAGATTTGTAGCCGATGAAGTGGCACAGTCAAAGTGTGATGATGGGGAGAAACGGTCGTAGATTGGGGACTTTGGGCAATTTTGTTGGATGATTTATGCATTTTTTTGTTTCGTGTGTGAAAATATCAGGGACCACGGAACGGTACTGTCGTTCATATTTTCTTTACTTGATTTTTTTTTTAAAAAAAAAAAGAAAACAAAAAAAAAAAAAAAAAAAACAGAAAATAAGATAGACTACTTGGTGCAATATACAAATAGAGAATGTCTTTTCGCACTATACGGTTCATCCCCTCCCACAGTGAAGGTATAGACCTAATTTTCCCATGCAGAAACCCATTTATTTAATTTTCCAAAAGCCCCTGTGCAATATAAAAAACATGGCTTTAGGTATCTGATATAAAAGACAAAGAGTAGGTGCTGTTTTTAATCGACTTTCCTGAAATAGAAGGCTTTTTTTTAATAAAATGAAAGGAAAGACGAATTATAAGCTTATTAAAATTAAATTTGACGATCTTATTACATTGATAGGATACTGAGCATTGTGAGCAGTGAGATGTGGATAATTCTTCCGAGTCCTCTGGTGCGAAGAGCAATTCTCATACAATCTGAGAAAGCAACATCTGTCATGCCAAGCACAGCAAGACGACGTGTCAATACTTGAACAGCGGGACACAAAACAAAACCTGCATTAAGATTAGAGAATTTTGTGTGATATAATACAAGAGTACATAAAAGAAGAGGGGTAGTAGCACTGAAGTCCATCAACAAAACAACCCCAACCCACAACATCCAGCATCCCGCCCAAACCAGACAAAGAAGCTTGCAAGGATATCTCCTCCAAACAAAAAAATCCCCCAACATCCGCATCACCTTTCCCATCATAACTTAACCCTCAAAGATTGCAACAAAACAAGAAAAATAAATACTCCCGGCGGGGGTTGAACCCGCGACCGTCGCATAATATTTGACCTTTCCAATCAAGGAAGGATGAAAGATATAAGAGCGAAATCTTAACCACTAGACCACGGGAGTATTTGTTTTTGTCTTTCCAATCTTCGACATCTTCTTCCCACCAACTCCCCTTATCAAACCCCCCTCACTCTTGATGATTATCAGTACCATACTGAGGCAACTTCCAATTACCATAATTATCTCCATCCTCTCCAGAAAAAATATGTCCAGCCACTTTATCAATTTTGAATGCACTTATAGCCCAAACGAACCGATTCATCGCTCGCACCCCAAACTCTGACCCTGCAATGAAGAAACGCATCATCCGCTCCGATGGCACTCTCTTCTGCACGATATCCGTAAAAGGCCTTACCTTGGTCTCATAAACCTTTAAGCCCTCTGGAATCATTTTCTTGGCCTCCTCAACCGACTTCCCCGCAGAACGACAAACCTTTGCAATCTCATTGGAAAGCACATAAGCTCCCACAAAAGCACACGAAACTCCCGCTCCGGACAACGGCGACGGACAATAAGCCGAATCCCCCAACAAGACAACATTCCCTTCCTTATTCGACCAACTCTTTGCTTTAACCTGAACCAACTCCTGCGTCCAAAAATCATTTTTCGCTTCTTCAGAATTCAACAATGCATCCACAACCCTCTCCGAAATCCAATGCTTATGAGCAAACTTCTCTGCCCAAGCTTTCTTTTGTTCCTCAACAGTTCCACTCTTCAGCGCCTCATGAACTTTTTTATCCTCCCCAAGAAAACCCAAACAAACTCTCAAACAGTCCTCTCTATCCCGTCTGGTCATGATTGTTCTGTTTCCAGGGAGAAGACACCATCTTGCGTCCCGTCCATCTTTTTGTCTGTCAGATGGAACACTAAACAACGCCAACGTCATACCAATTTTCTTTAGCTCAACGGAGGATCCTCCTCCCTCAACATCACCTCCAAAAACCAACTTTCTCATCTTTGATCTCAGTCCATCCGCCCCAACAGCAAGATCAAATACCCCTTCCTCCCCATCATTAAATTTCACTTTTACTTCCCCAGTGCCCTCAACCTGAGTTAACCCCTCAACCCACTTTTCAAATTCCCACTTCACAATCTTATTCCCTTTCTCCTCCAACTCCTCCCTCAAAACATCAACAACATCTCCCCTCATAACTTCCCACTCCGCAGTAAAACCCTGCCCACCTTTCCCAGTATCATTAACCCCAAACCAAGCAATTCTATTCCCCCTTTTATAATCAATAAACTCCAACCCAGGTTCTTTAACTAATTTTTTTCGTAGGTTAGTTTCCAAAGTAGGTGAGAGACCTCTCATGGCTGTTAGACCTTGACCGCGGACATCTACTTGTTGGCCTGTGTTACGTAAGTGGGGGGCTCGTTCAACAATGCGGATAGATAGAGGAAAAGAAGGCGGGAGGAGGTTGATGAGGGATAGAGCAAATGCGGGACCGGAGATACCGAATCCGGTGATTAGGATGCGGAGGGGGGTGGGAGAGCAGGACATGTTGGATGATGCGGGGGCGTTTAACGGTTGGTGTGGTAGGTAGGTTGGTATGTTTTAATCAATGCAGGTAGCTGAGTATTGAAGAGAAAAGGTGATGACCGTGCTATAAGTGGGAAAAATGGGTGAAAAGGATGGTGGATGTGAGAGAATGGCGGGATAAGACATACTGTCAAGGACCTAAATCCTTGGAAGAAAAAAAGGTCAGTTTGTCAACCTCGGAAATATCGGTCCCAACATCAAGAGGGGTTGTTGGTGCGCCCAGAGGTGGTGATGAGTAATACACATGTGGTCTCGTGTAACAGATATGCAAATATTCCACATGTAGAATTCGGATGCCGCACCAGTTGGAATTGCGAACTATCGGGGCATTCGGGGGCCGAAGTGCGACGAGGTACGCAATATCGAAGCACGTAAGCCACCAACAGAAAAGAAGGATTGGTTAGAAAATAGCGCACACGAGAAAATCCCAGCAGGGTGATGAGGAATCATATGACGCGTCATAAAGATAAAATACTTTAGGTATACTACCTCAAAAAGAAAAGAAAAAAAGAACAACAAAAGGGCTACCACCATACGCAATGCTTCTATCACATGTAGGAAGTAAGGAATTCACCATCAGCCACCCAACTACCCCTGCACCTGTTCCCCGTCTCCGTCCCCGTCCTCAGACTTCGACTTTTTGCTCGCCTTTGAAGTTTTCCTCGAACTCCTCTTACTTCCACGCCTTGAATGATGCTCATGATGACTCCCACTACCACGACTCTTTCGTCTACTCTTTCACTGGAGGTATTCCCGTTCCTATTCCAACCCCCTGAACCTCCGGTTAAACTCCTCTACCGCCACAGCAACCATACGGTAGATAAACGTCCTGCCGCTCTCCTGTCCAATTGGTATAAACGGCCCATTGGTTCCTCCCCGCAAAGTCAGGCTTAAGCCCGTCCGCTCTTTAGCTATCGTCTGCACGTCCTTGAGCGGCACATCCCACTCCGTCTGCAGCCTTCGGCTTCTAATCAACAAGATGCGCGAGTACGTCACCATGACTACCATATCCTCAGTCGGCAACTCCAGGTGCGCAATGTACTGCTCGTCAAAGTACTTGCCGTTATCGACTTGCTTCAACCAACTCTGACCCAAAGCTTCGCGCTGGCTGTAAGGCCTTACGATTCCGTCGGCGGGGATGTACCTCGGCAGCCTGACGCGGTCCAGCTCGGACCCGTCAAATACCGTCGTGGTATTCCGCACGCCCTCGCTAATGTTGCTTGCAAAGTCCAACACTCCAATAGCTGGCTTGGTGGCCAAACCCACGACACCCTTGCCGATGCCCTTGAAGAACCCAAGTGCTCCTTCTTGCTCGGCACCTTCGAGCGGCTTTCTCGCGAGACCGCCTACACCTGAGGCAACAGATGTAAACAGGCTGTTGGCGCCCGCCGTGACTCCGTAAATAGCATGCTTGGGACGGTTGCGGGCCCGCGTGATCCGGCGACGGTCCTGGAACTGCTTATCCATGGTTGCCGCTGCAAGACCCTTGGCAAAACTTCCAGTGAACTTGGAGAAAGAGTCGCTGACACCGTAGACTGACTTTTTGAAGAAGGAACCTGCACCACGGGCGAGGCCAAGACCAAAGTCTTCTGGCTTGTCTGACATGATGAGGCCCTGATACGGTTCGTAGAAGATGTCTGCAACACCGGAGCTGATGTTGTTGAAGAGACCAACAGGGTTACCAAGGAAGTCGGCACTGCCCAAAATCTTGTGGATCTGGTAAAGAGCTTCTTGGCTGTAATGGTTCGAGATATTTTGGATGAGCACGGGTATCGAGACGCGCACGTTCTCGAGCATCAAAGCGTTGAAGCGTACTGGGGCGTCGTTGATATTGCCAATGGCCATTGTCATGACGTTGAAGAAGAACATGACCGGGTTGCGTGACGATGTCTTGTCCTCGACATTGACTCTCTCTGTTCGCACAAACGAAAGATCTAGCTGCATGGGTTGAATGTTGAGAACCTCAAAGTAAATATCCCTGCCAGCTTGCTGTTGTTTGGGTTGCGGGATGTCAATGTTGTCATCACATAGCTTATCTTCCTCATCCGTCGAAGACCAAGAAGCACCAGGGACCTTGGAAAACTCCAACACGGCGTAGATAAAGTCTTCGTCCAGCTCCACCGTCATCTCCTGCAGGAGCACAGTGGCATATTTGATGTACTCAACACCATACGAGTCATCCTTGACGCGAGTGACCATTGCGTGAAGCGATGGGTGTGCTTCGATCTCTTGTGCGCGCTTGGGGACCACGCTTGGGTACAGGATCATGGGGAAGATACCACCATAGAGCTGGTTGTCAATCTGGATCCACTTCACGGCCAAGGTGACCGTCTGGTAGAGAGGCGAGTCGCTGTACCGGAGCTGGACATCGCGGAATGTCAGATACGCCAGTTCTTTGAGCTGGGAGTTGATAAGTGAGACACCAATGCCAGATAACCTTAGTTGGGCCTGGAAGGTTGTGCCGGTGTCGAGCGCCTTTGCCTCGAATCCTTCCCGACTTGTGGCGGATCCCGCGTTTGAACGTTGTCGGTAGAGACTCTTGGACTGCTTAAAGTTGGAAAGAATAAGCGTCTGGGTTGGGCCGTCGGCCGTGACGTTGATGTCAATGATCTTGGACTGCCCATTGCTGCTGATAAACTTCATAGGCATCAGATTACCAATCTCGGCCAGCTTGACGTAACGCTCCTTGTTGTACGCGCTGATGCACACCTCCTTGTGCTTGGCGGCAGGGAAGTCCCACGCATAAGGCATGATGCTCCTCGGTGGGAGCCGGTACCTCACAGGTCTCCATCCAGACCGGTCCTCGTGGCCATCCTCATCGATGTTGGGATTAACCTGGTAGAAGGTAAACTCGGTGTCGCTTTCGTTGCGCATCGAGAACGGCCAGTTCTTTTGCTCCATGCTCAGGTTGAGGAAGATGGTGGACTCTTCCATGAGGATCTCCACACGAATGAGGCGTTGTCTTTGACCTGCCCTCGCAATCTTGATGTGTGTTGTGCCGAGATCTGAGATGTTGAAAGGTGCCGTCCACTGGTTGTCCACCCCGGGATAGCAAAGACATAATTGCTTGACTGCACCTCTGGTGAGATAATGCAAAGGCCGAAGGGCGCCGCCCTTGAGCGATATGAGGCCCGAAGAGCTGGGCTCGCGGATGTTAATGTCCTCGCCAAGCTTATTCTGAATAACGTATCTGGGTGCCAGTGTCACTGTCTTGATCATCTTGTACTTGCCTTGGCCAGATTCAACCGTGACGCCAAGGTGGACCTCTGCATTTCTGGCAGGAGAGTTGAGGACGACTTCAGACGTGCTTCCAATGGCATCAAAACTTTGCGGCTTGCTCCACTCAGAGTCGCCAGCCTTGAGATGGGCGCGGTTCCTGTGGTCGTCACTGCTGAATGAGAATATCAAGGGCCGTGTTTTCCGATCACTGCCATCGCCAACATCTATGAGCCCCTGGCCTGCCGATGCCGCCTTGGCTTGCTGCATAAAGCCCTTGGATCTAATGCTCATATCCATACCAGTC